AGAGAAAGAGAGGGAGAGAGAGAGAGAGAGAGAGAGAGAGAGAGAGAGAGAGAGAGAGAGAGAGAGAAATCGTGTAGACTTTTAAAGCAGTTTAGTGCTACGTGGCTGGGGAGGTGCGTTGAGCCCGCGCCTCCAAACGGAAATCATTAGGTCCTCTCTGATTTTTTAACACCGTTTGCAGAGTGAGTTCTGAACTTGAAGTCCCGGATTTTTTACTTTTATAATCTTGCTGATGGAAAGGCTTCTCGCCTACGGATTTTCCCTGGGGGAAATGAACTCTGCTGGACGATTTCATAGCAGAATTCGACAGCTAACTTTAAGCACAGTCGCGATTTACAGCGCCATATGGGCCGCCCCCAATCCACTCTTTACGTTGCCAGCTTTCCCCCTCCCTCCTCAAATCAAATTGTTTGTGGCTAAGTTGCCGGATTTCGAGGTCAAACAGGGGCAGGAAGAGAGCCTTTCCCCTACCTCCCGCTGTCCTCTCCTCCCCACTCAGCTCCCCTTTGCCCTCCCTCCACCGCCCCACCCCAGCCCCGTACCTGTGGCCCGGGCGTTCCCCGCGCGGCTTCCCGGCGCGGAGAGTCGCGGGCCAGCCTCGCTGCTGCTCCTCGCGGCCTGAGCTTGGCGGCTGAGCCTCTTGGCGATAACTTTGATGGTCATAATGACGCCGGTGGCAACCATTTTAACGAAGATCAATCTTTACTCAAGGCCCTTGCAGGTCTCCTCCCGCACTTGCGCCCCACCCTGCCCGGACCCCAAGTGCACTGTGCCGGTACCCCCGCCAGCAGCCCAAAGGGAGAGAGATCCAGGGCCACTCGCGGGGACAAGAGAGGATGGGGATGGGACACTGAGGTCGGCCTGCGAGCTTCCGAAGCAGCCGAGAGACCCTGGCAGTCTGGGCGCTGGGCGCGGGTCCTGCATCCCCGCCTCAGCACCAACCCATACCCCAACCCCGACCCCCCCTTTCCTCCCTGCCGCCACACCCAGCAGCACATCGGGGTGTGTGAGGGGCAAATCCGGGATCTATTTGTCCATCTCTCTGTTGGCGCTTTCCTTTTAACCTTGGACCCGTTGGGGGCGCGTCAGGAATGTAAGGGGAGGCGAGGTGTGAAGTATATTTATATACATTTATATACGTAGTCAATGCCAAAAGTTTCTCTCCCTTTCCCCTCGGCGCCAACTTATTTCAACAACGCTAGCTTTGCTTAGAAAATCAATTCCACCTCTTTAAGGTAGTAAATGGAGTTCTCCCCCAAGGTGAGAAGTGGAAAGCTGGATAGGCACGCTGTGGCTGGGGAGTGAGGGGGTGGGGGGCGCGGAGTGGGCTTCGGGGTATCCAGAGGACTTGACTGGGAGTCCACCTCCGCCCCCGCCCCAGAGGCCGCCCAACGCAGAGCACTGCAGTCCCTTTCCCAGCCGGCTTTCCGGCCCTTCACGCGGAGAGAGCTCAGCCTCGCCGAAGCCCCCACCTCTCCTCCCCGCTGCACAGTCCCCGCGTCCAGCTCCACCACTCCCGCAGGCCGCGCTCAGCGAAGGCGGGTCGCCGCCCAGGAACCTGGAAGGGGTACCCCCGCCCCGTCCCACTTGCTTTGGGGACTGAATGGGACACCTCGGTCCAGGCTCGGATTTGTGGTTGGGGCCGGAGACCAGGCCCTGGCGGGGGTGGGTTCAGGCGGAGGCGCGACCTGGGCGGAAGTCGCGGATGCCTTTATTGCTGTCGTTTGGCGCCCCCATCTGTTTTCCTCGAGGTTTTGGCGGCTGTGAGCAGCTTTCAATCGCAGAAGCCGCCGCTGAGGGCTGGGGTGGGTACAGCGACCCTTCTTCCTTCACCCAGCCAGGAGGTCCCCCACTTCCTCCCTTCCTCTGGGACCCCTCGCCTCTGGTCTCAATGTCTGCGCCAAACCGTACCTCGGTCTGTTGAAAAGGGAAAACGTTTCTCAGGCACACCTTCATTCATTAAGGTTTTGAAAACTATATCGCACCTTTTAAATAATACTAATATTTTGTGTTCTAGCATGTTTATTATGAAAAGTACATGTCAGCGAAACTGCTCACAGCACAAGGCACCTATTCTTTTTCACTAAACTGCGTTTAGCAGACAATGTTTCATAGGGGGCAATGAAGATTCCATTACAATATTTAATGCCCCTTCATTTATTTAGATTCCACACCTACTACTAGTAGTAATATTGGTTAACATATATAGCGTTTACTCAGAAATTACAAGTGCTTTTTACATATATATCCCCTCCAAAGCTCACAACTGTACTATTATCCCTTTCTCAAAGATGAGAAATCTTCCACACAGAGAGGTTGGAGGTTTGCTTCTGATGTAAACTTATCTTTGATAAAAATCCACAAGTTATAAAGTATTTAAAAGCGTTGGGCAGCATTTTTGGTTGGGTTTCTCATTTTGTATATATCTCCTTTAAATTCAGGCCTACCTCAAAAACATTGAGCCTATGTAGGGTAGTGAGAAGATTAACACAGTTCTGTTGGTATTTATTAATGAAATGCCCAAACCGTGCACATCTCCCAGAAAGTCCACGCTGAAACTGGGAAAGATCTTGTCAAATGTCTCTGCTTTTTTTAGACATTGCCTTTGGGCCATCAAGGCCTCTTACCTACTACCAAGGTACAGGACTCAATAAAATAAGGATCCACCCCCATGTCTCCGTGGTTTGACAGAAATTTTTAATATGCATTGAGGGTGAGGGTGAGGAAAGGACTTTCTCCAAATGGACTGAAAAGTAACTTTTGTTCAAAACGAGGAATTACATGAAAGAGGCCTAATTTGGGGCGAAGATAGGCCTTCAGACTAAATATTTGTTTCTTGAGGAGGGGCGGGTTCTCCACTTTTGGTAGACTGAAGATAATAAAAATTAGTCCGTGCTGCCCGAGAAGAGGGGAAGGGCAGCTCATCCACCCGGCCTGGTTCCCAGCTTCCGTGTGAAAGGGTCCCGGACCCTGGGGCCAAAATCCCGGGGGGCAGGCGCCGCCTTGGGTTGCAAGGCTCGAGGACTGGGTCGGCTGGATGGGATGACACAGCTGGATGACTAGAGCCTGGGCTGCGAACCATGGGCACATTTTCTTTAGGCTAAGTGAGGTCCCCACGGCTTGGAGGTTTCGGTTTATAAGGGAGGACGCTGGTTTGGGGTCCAGGCTAGACTCCTTACTGGCAACTTCTTGCTGCCATTCCTCTCAAGCCAGCCTCGAGCTCTCTGCCTCTCCCAAGTCTCTCTGGCTGCTTCTATTTCTCCTTCCCCTTCCCCCTTCCGTCCCGCACCCCACCAGGAAAGGCCGTGGGTGAAGGATGGAGGGGTACTTTCTGCGTGAGCTCTGGGGCTACCCAGGCACGCTGCCTGCCTGAAGCTTGTGCGCCCTGAGACGCGACAGGAAAACTTGCAGGGACATCTAGCGCCAGGCCTGGGGAACTGCGCGCCGCACATCTGGGAAGCTAAGCCTGACCGCTCGCCCCTTCTCCACGCTCCCTGCGCCCCCCACTCCACCCCACCCCGCGCTCCTTGGAGGCCAGGCTTTTCCCTAACCTTCCTCCGGAGGCTCTGCAGGTGACCACACCGAGATTCCCCGCAGAGACAGCGGAGTGGGGGGAGGGGAGAGAGAGAAAGAGAGAGAGAGGTTAACAATAATATTGCTAGTCAAGTGTATTCCGAAGACAATCTCACACCTTTGAGATGTGGGCAAAAATTTTGCCCAAGGAACAGGTAACCCGGGTCCCCGGTTCTGGGCCCAGCCTCCGGCGCCCCCTCCTAGGTGAGATTAGGGCTTCTCTGAGAGGGAAAACTGTGTCTAGTTCCCGCCAGGAATAGAGGAGTTCTCTCCATCCCCAACAAGGGCTCACTGCCTTGAGGGGGGCAAACTTGGTTTCGCCAAATAACGCTTTGGGTTCGTAGAGGGTTTTCTTTGTTGCAATCAATTTACATTTAATAAAGTCGAATTCTCTTGTTAAATCCAAATGGAATACGTCTAGACCTTAAAAGTACTCAACTCAGGATTCCACTGTCTGGCTTCTGCCCTTCTTCATCTTGGCTTGTTGTTTGTTTGTTTGTTTGTTTAATCCTTTGGATATTTCCAGCCTGAGTGAAACTGGGTATTGTCTGCAGAGGGCTGATTGGTCCCAGAGTTGTCAGGGCACAGACTTGGGTAAGAACACTGTCCAGCCATATGCACTGGATTTAAGACTTTACTGTGGAATTAAGACTCTATTTCTACACTGAATTTTTGGCTTCTTGCAAGTTAATTAGGAGGGTGTCCTGGATAACACTTTCAAAGGAGTTCCCAGGACCCCACTCTGATACGACTTGGTAATTGTTGTCCTGGCCCTAATGATCACTGATTATGTGGTTAACTGAGCTCACTGCTGCCTTGGCAAGCAGAGGAACTTACCTTCTTCAATAAATCTAAATCGCAGCCTGCACCTACCTGCTCTCCACCCCATGACAGGGACATGATTTGAAAGATCATCTACAAGGAGGAAAAGGGAATGTGACTTTCAGAAGATGACTGATTCCCAAAAAGGGTGCTTGTGGAGGGAAAGGAGGAAGGGTAGTAAGTAATGAGAGAAAAGGGCAGAGCTGATCTGATTACCTCTCTCCCTGGCAGAGTGGGACTTTAGACAATGAAGGGCTATACGGAGTTCCTCACCAAAATTAGGAAAGGTGGCAAAACTGGTTTCACTGAATAACACATCAGTATTTGGAGACATTTATGGCCACAAAAGATTTTCATTTAGCATAGACTATTTCTGTGGTTAAAGCCCCAAACTAATACACGCACACACACACGGTCTGTGCTCCTGGCCAGTTTAAGAAAATTATTTCTATTAAGTTTAAACCTGAAATCAGCTCAAACATAGAGTATACAAGCTAAATGAAATGTTTCTGCAAATTCAGCCTCAAAATTCCTTGCCTAACTACCACCCCCGCTTGTAAACTCTGAGTCTTATTGGTTCATAAAAAGAGCAGCCCTGACTTTGCCTGCTACTCAACCACAGCCCTATAATCCAATAGCAGCGGCTGACCTGGGGTGCTGTGTTTAGGGGCCCTCATAGGGTCCAGTCACAGCCTCTTTCCTAAGGGGCATTCTCTCTCCTAGGATGTAGGACTACCCTGGAAGCAGGTTCAGTAGCAGGATAGCAAGAGGCAATGCTCTTTATTGTTCAAAGTCTCCCTGGTCTCTGAACACTCTTGAGGTTAGGCAGAGAAATCCCAAGTCCTACCAGAGTCCCATAGGGCAATTGGAGGCAGGACTGCCATTGAGCAGCATCTTTCAACCAGGGCATTAATTCACTTTTCTCCTAGTCCTGCAGAAATTAATTTGCTGCATAGATAATTAAGCCAAAAGTGAAGTGCTGTCTGAAAACAGTGAAACTTGACAAGCTCTTCTCTCCTATTTTAATTTCACTTTCTTCATTTTTTAGCATATAATCAGTTTTTAAAAGGTACTTATTAGGTAGAAAATCACACAGATGTCCCAGGATACAAAATCACAGGGATATTTAGTTTTAAGAGACTGAACGTTCATTAGTTCCAATTATGTCTTAGAAATATTTCAACGAATTTGTTTTTTGAGGTCACAGAAAAAAAATTTCAAAGTGTCTTTGTTTTCCCTCTCTGAGAAAAAAAGAAAGGGAGACAAAGGAAAAGTAAGAGCATTTCAGAGTAGCATCCCATGATGGAATTGGTACCAAAAGTGTTAGGTAGAGAGAACCAACCCAGCCACACTCTTCTAAAAAGTCAGTAACTCTGTCACCTAACCCTGACTGGTGTTTCTTTAATGCCGATGCAGCTTCTGTTGCTAACTTTTACCTCCTCTCAAGTAGCCAGAATTGTTTTCATCAGCAAATTCCTATTCCCTGTGATTTTCTGCAAAGGCTTAGGAACTCCTCCTGTCTCAATTTGATCATGAACATGTCTAGGACTTCAAAAAGGTCAAATTCTCCCGCTTTTCCTTTCCAGTGCCCCTCTCATAACTTTCCCCTTTATTTGAGCCTTTTATGGTTACTGGGTTTTGCGTGTCAACACTCCCAACACCAGCAGCCCACCCTGCAATGCCAGGCCAGGCCCAGGAGGGCTCTTTTACTCTGCCCCAGTAAAAGGCCCAGGCTCCTTTATTCTGCCCCATCCAGATTCTGTCTTGGACCCAGGAACAGCGGGTCTAGGTGACAAGCTGGCCTCACCAATCACAGGCTCAGGGGAGTGATTTTCTTGGAGACGGGCTGGCCTGGGGTGCTGATACTACCAACACAAATGGGCTCCTACACGCACCCCAGAACCCCCAGTGGAACCTTAGATTCACCACAAGGCTCACACCAGCTCCCTATTAATGACTGAGATGGAGGATAGTGGACTGGGGCTCAGTGGCTGAGGAATGGCACAAAGGGATGAACAGGGTGTCAGGGCTGTGATCCCTGACACCCGGGCCGGGGCTGTCGTCAGCCCACTCTAACTCCTCCAACCCCTCGAGTCAGAACCAGTTACTCTGGGCTGCTTCTATCACCAGCCCCAACTTTGCTTGCTGGGGTGGGGGGAGACCGCCCTCTTATTAATTTGTCTCTCTCTCTGGTCTCTGCAGTTGGCAGCTTGGAAAAGAAAGCGAAACAAAGGTTCCTGGGAAAGTAAAGTTTTCAATTAATTGGTGTGAGTGACGGGCGGGGGTGGGTGGTGGCTGCAGAATGCAAGAGACCAGTCGGCTGCAGGCGAGGCGCTTAACTCTTGCGCCGGGCGGCGAAATGGCTTTCGCCAGAGCCCTCAAGTGAGTTTTTCTAGGCGCCCGGGGAGGCTGCGCCAGGCCTGGGGAGCCCAGCTCGGGAGACGACTCCCGGCTGGCCCGAGGGCAGAGGCGGCGAGAGTGGACCAGGCATCGGGCTTTCCTCGCCGGGGCAGACCATCAGGTTCCCGCGCCGAGTCCTGTCGTCTGCTTGACTTATCTGTAAGTCTCTGAGCCTGGCCCCAAGGGCGCTCTGGGAGAATTTTCCAGGAGGGCAACGTGTGTATAAGCAGGGGTTGCTCCAGTAGGTCTTAATTCGGAGGATCCCCTGAGATAACACGCGTGAAATGCCCTTGCCCCCGCAGCAAGGTACTGCAGATGAGCTCCCTCGGGTTTAGGGTCTAGGTCAGCTAATGCGAACGGTTAGGCAACGGGGTGAAAATTCGGTCTGTTTTCACATCTTTCTGACCATCCCTGTCGTTCGCCTTCATTTAGTTGTGCAGCTCAGGGAGCCACAGAGAGGTGGCAAAAACAGCCTTGGCGGAGACCAGGCGCAGGCCTCAGCGCCCGCTTCAGTCGCAAACAGGGCCTGGGATGGTTGGTCGCGCAATCAGCTCGTGGGGGTGGCTGCGGCGCAAACGCCAAGGGTCCCGGGTAGGGCGGGAAGAAGAGGTGGGCTGC